TTGTTTCGAATGAATGTATGAGAGTTGAATGTTGAATGGAAACCAATTGTTGACGATGGCGGTCGGGAGCTTGAAGACCGCCAGCTGAGGGTCAAGGTGGTGGTCCGTGGAGGTGATCCAAAGAAGTTGGTTAGTTTAGATTAGCCTCGAATAGTTAGCTAGTCAATAAACCTAAGTCCTAATAAACAAATTACTATAGGTTCTAGTTAATAAAATCCAATTAGACTTAGAACCACTTTTTAATAAATGGTTAGAATAGCTTAAAATAGCATCTTTATCATAATGAGTAGAATTTAGGCTCATCTTAAATAGGATTAGTCTCTAATTTCAAGCTTATGGGGGTTCATGTCCCGAGACTCATAACAAGGCCATGTATATTCTTTTCCCAACTTAGTATCGGTTCCTCATTTGGTGATATAATATTCTTTACCCGAATCGTATCGGGCTCTCATTTCCACGACTTTTCTTCTAAGCTTTCATTACTTGAGTGTTTAGACGTCGTACTTTCAACAAATTATTTGTTAATCTCCTTTCTATAATGATTAGGTCTAGATTATTATCATAATAAACCCCTTCAAAAACATTTGCATGATCACTTAGCGACACCATTGCCTTTAGGTTCAATAATGATAAAAAAATTGAATGACTACTTAGATAAACAAACTTCCAAGATCAGCGATACTGAAAGGGCACTAATAGACATTAGCGTAATGAAGTCCCGAACTAGAATCTTTGGTTGAGTAGGAAACAAGACGAACATCTCGTTTGGTTTCTAACCGACCCCAAAATGGCTAGTGGCGACTTCCTAGAATTCCTTAGGATTAAAGGAACTTAAAATGAAATCCAACGCCGCGCAAGGTATAAGCTTGGGAGAGCGCTATCCTAATCGATGGGTCGTTGGCCCACCTTTTGGGTAATACCTCTAAACCTGCTCCTGAAATGAACAGCGTCTCGCTTGGAATGGTCGCAACAAATACCCAATAAGAATCTGCTGCATTACTTAGTACATCAACTTTGTCATATCTTAGTATGCATAGCAATTCTCTTATCAATAATTTTTATTGTCAACCATCTCAATATGATAAACATAACCAACAAAAGCGCTCGTAATAATAATCAGATACTGAAGACTTACATTTAGCCCATTTCCCGCTTAATATGGCTCAGCCTGTTTTTAGTCAGATGTTGGCTGATTGGTGAGATTTCATTCATTTTTTAATTGCCCTAGTCTTATAATAGGGAAAGTCTTAAAATTTATCATGAAAGTGCAATTGAGTCCTAAATTTTTTTTAAAAACCAATTCCTAAACATTATCACAAAAGTGCAATTGAGTCCTAAAACTTTCAAAAAGTACAATCAAGTCCTAAAACTTGTCAAATTAATACAATCAAGTCCTAAAACTTGTTAGCATTTTTCATTTACAAAATTGAACAGAGTTAATGGAAGGACTTAATTGCACTAACTTGACAAGTTTTAAAACTTGATTGTACTTTTTGAAAGTTTTATGACTCAATTGTACTTTTGTGATAAATTTTAGAACTTTCAGTATACTTAAAATAATAAATTAAAGAGGAGGCTTTCCTCGTGCATCGACAAGCCTTCTTGCTGTGATTTACTCGTTCTTTGTCGTCCTCAGCAAGTTACAAAATATGAAAACTTTCCAGGATATAGAGAGGGTGATGGAACAACATTTGTCTTTCCTTCTTTTCTTTTTATTTTGGCAATATTTATTGAAAAAACGTGGACTTGACTTTGCAGTCTTTGTCGTCCCATTATAATTTCACATCCGCAGGTCATCATCAATCATCAACCACCGCAAGAACAGCTACCTTTATTTTTTTGGCAATATTTATTGAAACGCTAATATTTTAGTACGTGGACTTGACTTTGTAGTCTTTATCATATAAATTATTGTTGTGTTCAAATGAGGTAGGAAAGCACTTTATTTTCTCGAGTTAGTAGATAAACAACACGAAATTAATTTATATTTGTTGATGTATTGTATGGAAACTTCATAAACCTGTCTTAATATTCTCCCGCACGGCATGATGTGTAATGTACTTGAAGAGTAAAAATTGTGTCGAGTTTTAATTTCATTGAAGATGAGCATTAAAGATGAAACGTCATCTTCCCTAGTGTCTGAGTCAGATTTCGTGGACCTACTAGTCCACCAACCCGAATGATTTTGAGGGCGCATTTCCCTAAATTGACCTAGTGCGTCATAAGGTGCTTCTTACCAGGTTTGAACACGAGATCATAAGGAAAGGAACAAACTCGCTTACTATTTATTTAGGTCAAACAAAAATTTAACCGTAAATTTAATCGTAACCAAGATAGGAGTACTGGGATTAATATAAACCTATGAAAATATTGATTTATATTAAGATGACATCTGTGCCGAAGACTTCGGTTATCTAGAAATTTGACCATAAAGTGTGTGAATCTTTTTCTTTTTTTGGTCAGCTTTGAATTAAATCTCAGATATAAGGAATTAGGTTACTTCTACAACAAATGGAGAAAGTTCATTGTCTAGAGAGCAGTGTCTAAATAAGTTGGTCCCGTAGCTGACCGAAAAGTCAATATGGACACAAAATAACTAATACGACCCCATCGTCATGTTCACATGATGATTATTAGTTTCAATTTTCCCCCTTAACACCCACATAATTGGCAAATTATTTTATTCAATGATTAAAAAGGCACGTCCAGCTTTACCAAACCTCTTTATTTTATTATTCTTTTAATAGACGAATGCCATTACATCTTTCCATACATTGCGATCTCACTAGTAAAAATATACCTGCGCTATACTGCGGAAAAAAAAATAACCAAAAGGACCGGATGGACAAATAACAATTTGATGCTTTATCGTAATTTTAACTTTTTCAGTAATTTTGACATTTTTAAAAATATTAAGCAACGTTGGCTAAATTATCATTTATTTCAGCTAATAAAATACGAATATAAAATATGTGATGTTATGCAAAGTTCTCATTATATCATGATTAATGACTGATTAAAAGATATTAGCACTTAATATTTGATGACAACATCGAAGTGGTGGCCTTTTCTTTTAAGGTACAAAGATTTAATTATTCTTAAATTTGATTTAAAAGAACTTTTAATACTTATAAGGGGAATGGTAAATGAATCGATAAGGAAGACTAAAATAACATACACTAATAATGTCAAAATAATACCATTCATCTAAGACAAGAGAAACATGTGACAATTTGATCGCACTTGAATTTTATTACTTAAAGGACTGATTGAGATAAATTTAAGGTGAAAAATGAACTTTAAGCTAATTAATAGACATGACAAATGGATTGAAAAGAAAAACAAATAGATATCCGTATGATAAAAAGATAGCTTGAGAAATAAAATAAACTAAAAGTGCAATTTTTTTTTATAAAATCAATGAGAATTAAAAGTATGCAAAAGATGAACAAATGCAAGAATTTGAGAAAAAAGGAAGAAAAAATTGAAAAGAAAAGAAAAACCAATTTGGTGTGGGCGCAAATTCAATTCCTAGCGGCTCTTCCCATGAATCGGGTGCTTTATCACAGTGTTATGCATTGATTACCTTATAACATGCGACGTGTATATATATAAAAGTTAAGATTGTACAACTAATTATTAACTAACACGTGGTAAATCATAGTAATTGCTTTAGGCTCTCTCGAAAAAATATTGGGTAGGCATGTCTTACCACATAGGTTATGTGTGACTTCACTAATTGTTCGCTATCGTTATGGTGTGAACTTTTTCGCTCGTTTTCGATATTGCTTGCTATAGTGTGGACTTAGCGGCTCATATTCAATATTGCTCCGATGGTTGGTTGCGACAAGACATCGTCGGATCATCTCCGGAGGATTTGCATGACTATTTCGCGAAACGACTCCCCTTCTTTGATAGCATACAGAGTCATCTCTGGGGTGCAAAAAAAAAAGGTTAATACCACGAAAAACTCCAAACTGATACATCTGTGATAATTTTACCTTGAACTAATTTTTTTACCACTAAAAATCCTAAACTGGTACATCTATGAAAAATTTACCTCGAACTACTTTTTTTACCACCAAAAACCCCACACTAGTACACTTGTGACAATTTTACCCCGAACTAATTTTTTGACCACAAAAAATCCCAAACTGGTATACCTGTGATAATTTTACCCCAAAACTAATTTTTTGACCACTAAATACCCCAAACTTGTACATTTGTGATAATTTTACCCTCCATTAGTGTCCGTTAAATTGGATTAATATCACGAACAATCACAAATTGATAAACTTGTGACAAACAAAGGGGTAAAATCCCAAACTGGTACACCCGTCAACTACCACGTGTCATCAAACTTAGCAATTTGACAGTAAAATTTAACGGAAACTAACGGAGGGTAAATTTATCACAGGTGTACCAGTTTGGAGTTTTTGGTGGTCAAAAAATTAGTTCAGGGTAAAATTGTCACAGGTGTACCAGTTTGGGGTTTTTGGTAGTCAAAAAATTAGTTCGGGGTAAAATTGTCACCAGTGTACCAGTTTGGGGTTTTTTGTGGTAAAAAAATAGTTTGGGGTAAATTTATCACATATGTATCAGTTTTGGGTTTTTCATGCTATTAACCCAAAAACCGAATTGAGGGAAAATTTCGGGTCTCTTCGGATTGTGTTTCCGTTGGATTCGAATGGGAGTAAAAAAATGAGCTTCTGACGGTCACAAACCCGACTGACCCAAAGCACCTTTATAAAAGGAACAATAAAAATGAAATTCTAAGAAAGAAAGAAACTAAAACAGCTCCGTCACCATCCTCTGCTCCGCCTCCCCTCCCAGTTCCCACCCTCAGCACCTCCAGCTCCTCCTTCGCCTTCTCTGCCACCATCTTCCCCGCCTTCGCCAGCTGGTAGCAGGTCTGCCGACCTGCTCAACATACTCGACAACTTGGAGGGAATCACGGACCGAGATCCGGCGATCCAAGGCCTCGATTCCATCAACGTAATATGGCTCTTTCCTCAGTTGGATGTCCTATATCACAAACCCCTTGCGGTTTGGATAGTTGGAGCAAGGATGGTGCCATTGAAGGGCAGAGGTTTGATAATATCACCGTAACGGACAAAGAAATCGTTAACGAAAGTGAGGGGATCACTGTCCTTAAGGGCTACTATCAATGTCTTGTTCCAGTGAAACGCATTTCCCGGGCTCATCATGATGTTAACCACGAAGTAGTTAAGAAGTTGAAAAAGTTTCGCCATCCAAATATTGTTCGGGTGAATAGAGCGAAGTCCGACCAGGAGTTCGAGTATCTTGCTCCAGAGATTGAGAATTATGAATCTACTTGTAGCTTATATGATTTAATTCGAGCGCTTTCAGATCCTTCAAAGGACTCTGTCTTCCCTCCTCACTATAAAAATAAAATGGATTCTCTTAGGGATAGGATGCAGGATGTTGAGTTGTGGACGGAAGATGATCATCCCTCAACTTCATTACTAGAACTGATCAGGTAATTTTTTTGTTTTGACGTGACAAAAGGTTTTGAATTGAAAGATAACTGCAGTATTTTGCTTAATGTGGCACTCCTAAAATCAACTGTCACAGATTTGTATTTGTAGCGAGCTTGCTTACATATGTTTTACAATACACAGAAGCATCTCATAGAGATCACTACCTTGGGCTCATGTGGGTATCAGGTGCTAGTTGAAGGACTTAATAGCTCTCCTGCAAAAACTTCCGAGTGATGCACGTTACAGCAAATTATTAGGCCATTACCTTAACTTTGGTTAGCCTGATGCAATCAACATTGTGGGCTGAGTTTTGAACCTTGGAGCTTCCTTTCTAGACTCATAGGTTAAGTTAAATATCACATTCGAGGAAAAAATTCTTAGTTTTCTTCCCATGGAAATCAATTAAATATTATCGATTACATAGCAATAAAAACATAGTATTTTTCTCATTTTGCTAAAATCAGTAGACCTTCTCTCTTTTTTGAATCATGAGTGCTGCAGAATCTTATGCAGTCAAATCAACAAATGATGATGTGATTGACGTGGCGATCAGATTTGTACCGTGTTCTTTATTTAGAATTTGCGTAAATAACCTATAACAGTTTTGTTTTTCCAGTGTACTTCTGGCATCCTCGGTCTTAATGTGTTAAGTTCCTTAATTTCCAATAGGTGGGTCTTAGTGTGTTAGAAAAGTTCTTTAATTTCCAATAAGATATGGCCTAGTATTTACTTTATGTATCTGATGCCTTCGAGTTACTCAGATACTATTTGGTTCCAGATATATTGTTGGCTCAAGTCATAATGTGTACTCTGTATTATGATCCAGAAATATGGTATCAGGACTCATTTGTTTGCATAAGTTTTTTTTGGATCACTTTAGTGCTAAAATTTTTGAAAACGATCACTTAAGTGCTAAAAATTTTGAAAAACGATCACTTAAGTGCCAACTCCGGTGCCGTACACAATTTTTCGCTGGAAATCCGACGTGGCATTTTTTTTATTAATTTCTGAAGCTGACGTGGCTCGCCGGAGATTGGCACTTAAGTGATCGTTTTTAAAAATTTTAGCACTTAAGTGATCGTTTTTCAAAAATTTTAAATCAAGTGATCCAAAAAAACTTATGACACTTAAGTGATCATTTTTCCTCCGGCTTGGCACCAAAGTGATCCGAAAAAAAGTTATGGCATCAAAGTGATCTCCGTACACAAGTTATGGCACTTATAGTGTCCTTTTGCCTATATTGTTGGCTTAAGTCATAATGTGTACTCTGTATTATGATCCAGAAATATGGTATCAGGACTCATTTGTTTGCATGGCAAGGGAATAATCCATGGGGATTTAAAGCCTCAAAATGTCTTGATTACTAAGAATGAGAACGGATCATTAGTTGCTCAGCTATCTGATATCGGCATTAGCAAACGCCTTCCTGAAGATACATCTTCCTCGGGAGATCATGCCACCGGTAAGTGCTCAAGGCAGGTTTATTTGGACCTTCTTCTTTTCCTCAAGATTGATCCGTGCATAATCTGAATTTATACGGTGGTAATTATCTTCAGATTCCTGGCAAAAAACTTCAAGCCGATCATTTTACTTGTTAGAGAGGAATACGTTAGGAAGTCAGTCTTGCTTTGTATTGCCGGCAAAGTTTGCAGAGATTTGACAGTTTTTACCATGGTCTTTCTTCATTGACTAGATCATATCCATCTAGGTCCAAGTGATGATGGCTCTTTTGTTGATCTCTAATCTCTGTCTTGCATGTTGTGGAAGCCCAGGATGGCGAGCACCTGAACAGTTTCTTCATGGTGGGCACCAAACATGTGCAATGGATTTGTTTAGTTTAGGTTGTGTATTGTTCTTTTGTGTCACTCATGGAAAACATCCATTTGGTGAACCTTCAAAACGTGACAACAATATGAAGAAGAACATAATGGACCCATCCTCGGTGAAAATTATACCAGAAGCTATGGATATGTTTTCGCGTTTACTAAAACTCGATCCTAAATTGAGGTGAGACTATTGTTATCTTTAATTTGCATCACTACCATTTTCATTTCCTCCGTTTGATAGATTTTGTAACCATCGTTAGTTAACTAATTTCCATTTTCCTGCATCACCCAAATCTCATGAGTATTAGAGGTCCAGAAATTCGTCGAATTTTACTTAAATATCTGTCCTGCTCGTGAGGCTGCACTTGATGAGCAAAAAAATGTGTACATCCCATTCATTTCTTTCGGCAAATGACAATAGAAGCCGGCGAAAAGGTTGATGATGTGATAGGCTAAATGCCTTTGACCATTGTAATATTCCAGTGGAAGATGATTATTGTCGGTAGCTTGGTTATTAGGGTTATAAGTTTGTTACCCGCCCACGAACATATAAATTTCAATAACTCCTAACGCAATATCTAGAGGATTCTTGCTATACATAGACCGACGAGGATTTCGTAATGAAGATTCCGATGGTTTAGCACATGGTGCTAACTATGAACCTTGGAGAATATGATTCTCGCTGCCCAATTTTTTTCTGGAAGAACCCTAGGGACTGAATGGTAATGTTACTAATTTAAGGTATTTGGAGTAAATCGTTCCTAGCTTCTTGTGTCGTCAAAGTCAAACAACTGCCTTCATCCTGGAGTCATGAGTTGTGAAGTGCATAGAAGTTTTCGGACATTTTGGTTACTCTTTCATTGAGCTAATGCAATTTCAATTGGTATAGAGATTGCAAAAATGTCATACTTGTGATGCTTATAAATTCAGGAAGTCAGTCCGTCCCAGCCTTGTTCGTGTAATTGATTATTTTTAGCATGTTGTACTATAGTTCTATTTTTTGTAATAATTTTTCAATGGTCAATAATTAATTGCTTTTAATTATGGTAGGCTAAAGGCATCGGAGGTGCTTCACCATCCAATTTTTTGGAATTCAAATAGGAGACTGTCATTTCTTCGTGACTTCAGCGATCATGTAGATCGGGAAGCAGCTATATGTTCTGCCCAAGAAAAAGAATGGAAACGAACAGCTAAAACAAGATACTTGGAGTAAGTCGTTCCTGGCTTCTTGTGTCGACATAGTCAAACAATACTTTCGTCGTGGAGTCATGAGTCGTAAAGTGCATGGAAATTTTCAGCTTTGGTTACTTTCTCATTGATCTAATGCAATTTCAATTGTTATACAGATTGCAACATATTTATGATGGTTCGGGAAGCGCTTTCTCCCCGAAAAAATAAAGCGGAACTGGAACGCGAACGGAGAGCTAAGGGTTCTAAAAAAAAAAGAACGGGAAGCTGAGGTAGTAAAAGAGAAAGCCAGGGGTTCAAGGAAAGCTAATGGTTCAAGGCAAAAAGAAAAATGGGAAGCTGAGGTAGTAGAAGGGAAAGCTGACGGTTCTAGCCAAGAAGAAGTTCGGGAAGCTGAGGTAGTAGAAGAAGAATGGGAAGCCGAGGTAACCAATTGGGAAGCCAAGGTACTCAATGCTCTACTGAAAGCATTGGAGAGCGAGGCACCAGAGGTTTTTGAAGGGAATTGGGCCACCAAAATAGATGGAGAAGTTATGAAGCACCTACGCCACTATAGGGTCTACGACGGTAGCCTTCTCAGATACTTAGTGCGAGCAGTGCGAAATTCGTTTAGCCACCAAGGAGATGCTCCGGAAAATGTTCTGGTACTCTCCTCTCTCTCTCTCTCTCTCTCTGATTTCTGCAGCTGAGTGGATGCAAAGCTTCTTCAGTAACCTTCTGTTTCTCGGATTGTGTGAACTCGTGGCTCATATCTGTTATTGATTTGATGGTTCTGGCAGGAGATCCTCGGACGGGATGACGAGGATTTGGATGCTTACTTCGCTGAACGACTCTCGAAACTGTTGATTGTGTCATACGGAGTGGCCTTCGAGTTATGCAAACGAAAGAAAACTTTTCAGAAGTACTTTGGAAAGGATACGCAAGAAACAATGTGGTGGGGACCCTTTCGCCGACCCCGATGAAAGCAGAAGATTTCTCGAACATTCTAGCTTTTTTTTTTTTTTTTGTGTCCACTGTCTTGTTTATGGGGATCAATTTGGACGGGCTTTGTACTCTGTTTGAACGTATGATGTATTCTTATTAATATCAAATTTCAGATACTTTTAGGATACTAGTCCCTCGTCCTTTAAATGTATAATGTGTTGTTCTTGATATTACCACAAAAACTAATATATTTCAATTTCGTGCCATATTTTTTTAAATATCCCAATTTATAAATCTAATTTTTTTTTGTTTTTATTCAAAACTATAATTTTAAGAGTTCAAAACAAAAAAAATAAAAAGCCTAGTGGTCAGCCCTAATAGCGGCTTTCATCAATAAAAAAAGTACTTTTTCTACTATGTCAACCAAAAAATAACCTGTGGTAGTATAGCAACTTCTTCGCCAAAGCTAGTAATTTTAACGTGGAAATCCAAATATCCAAAGATAATTATTCTAAGTAAATCTCAACGGACTAGATAACTTTCTCTGTTACGAAATAAGTGTCAATCTACTAGCAAGTAAGTATCTACCTATGACATTAACATTACTCTACCCACGCCGTTAATGGAATTTTCCATGTAATTTTTAACATATAACCGTTATTAACTTCTTGTAAAGTTGATAATCTTTTACATTGGGGCCAATGGTTTTGGGTATTGAAAGTATGGATCCATAAGTAATTAAATATAAAAAAGTAACATTCATGTATTTCAAAACCTCAAAAAGAGAAAATGGAAAGAAAATGCATTACCAATTCCAAACATCATATAAAGTGGACAAAATTTTTTTTTTTTCGTCTATGTACTTTATGATTTTTCTCATCCAATCTACATATATTTAGCTTGTCTAATCAAGTCGTTCTACTTTCACAAATTTTCAAGTCAAGTCTATTCGACGTTTATTCCAAGTTTCCAAGTTCAGACCTTTGCCACGTTGTTGGGCTTTCATGGGCCACTTTATACATATGTTTAAATTTTTGTGCGAGATCCGAGGATAGCGGTGAATATCTTTGAGCATTAAAAAACAAGAAAAATTACTAATGAAATGGAGTAATTGGTTATTCTTTATGAATGGAACATGACTTGATCTAAAAAAGGTTATGTCGGTCTTTGTTTATTTCATGTTTCCAAGTTCTAACCTTTGTCGTGTGATTGGGCTTTCATGAACCACCACGATGAGGACAAAATATTTCTTGAACCACTTCATACATCTATTGAAATTTTTGTGCGAGATTCAAGGATAATTTTGAGGTGAATATCTTTGAGCATTAAGCAAAAACATAAGGGTTAATACCATAAAAAACCCTAAACTGGTACATCTGTAATAATTTTACTCCAAACTAATTTTTTTATTACAAAAAACCCCAAACTGGTACAACTATGACAAATTTACCCTCAGTTTATTTCCGTTAAATTTTATTATCAAATTACTTTGTTAAATGACAGGCGACAGTTCACTGATGTACCGATTTTATATTTTACCCTCCGTTTGTCATAGGTGTACCAGTTTGTACTTTTTTGTGGTATTAATCCAATTTGATGGAAACTAAATTAGGGTATATTTGTCACAAATGAACCAGTTTATGATTTTTTGTGGTCAAAATATTAGTTTGGGGTAAATTTGTCATAGGTGTACCAATTTGGGGTTTTTGGTAGTCAAAAAATTAGTTTGGGGTAAAATTGTCACAGGTGTACCAGTTTGGGATTTTTCGTGGTATTAACCCAAAATATAAATACAAATGAGATTGAATAATGGGTTATTCATTAGGAATAGAATATGAACTGATTTGAAAAAGGACTTCTCAATCTTTGTTTATTCAAAGTTTCCAAGTTCTCACTTTTGCCACATTATTGGGCTTTCATGAATCACCAAGACGAGGACAAACTATTTCTTAAGCCACTACATATATATGTCGAAATTTTTGTGTGAGATTCGTGGACAATTAACAGGCGAATGTCATTAAGCTTTAAGAAAAAGGAAATACAAATCAAATCGATTAATTGGTCATTCTTTATTGATTGAATATGAATTGAAATTTAAAAAAAACACTTTCTAGTCTTTGTTTATTCCAAGTTCTGACCTTTGGCACTATAATGGGCTTTCATGAACCACCATAATGAAAAACAATTATTTTTTTAGCCACTTCATACATATGTTGGAATTTCTGTGCGAGATTCGAAGACAATTAACAGAGAGTGTCTTTGTTATCATCATTTAGAAATGTTGAGTAACTTATTAGTGAGTCACTAATTCTTATGTTAAATTATCGATATATTTTTGACAATTCAGAAATTACAAAAAGTTTCAATAAATTACGAACTTTTATGCACATGACTTACTAACGTATCAAAGTTACCAACTTTAATGTATCCAACAATTTTGTATATCAATCATAATTTATATCTCTAGCATTGTTAGCCTTAATATATTTTTTTTAGGTCCACCCTCTCCATCTTTTGTTTAACTGCATTGAAGGAACAAAAACACTACAAGTGCTATAATTTTCGTATGACGCACACTTAAGTGTCATAATTTTTTTTTTCGTTCACTTGAGTTCTACATGGGTGTAAAATCATTCGCTTGAGTGCCTATTCCGGCAATTCGTCATACGTGGCATTTTAAATTATATTTTCAACGCGATGTAGCTTTAATTGAAGTTTAATGTGGAAAATTCTTCGTCTGACGTGGCACTAGCTAACAAAGACGTTTTTGGGGAAGACTCACTTCCCCCTTCTCTGAAAACCGTAGATTCCATAAATAAATACACAAATAAAACGTACGAAGCTTTCTCTTTCGCTCTCGCTCACTTTCGCTTACTCTCGCTCTGTCTTCTCTTGCTTCGGCTTGGAAGCAGAGTTCGGTGACTTTGACAACAACGACGACGCCGCTCCTTTGTCATCCGTCGGTGTTCTCTCTTCTCTGTCCCTGCGCTTGCTCTGAGAGCTTAAGATTCCTGAGAGAGAGGGTGAGAGAATCTCTTTTTGAGAATCCCAATTTCGGCTTTGACGGATTTTGCCTCAATTTTAGAGTTGGGGTTCTTCCCTAACTTTGATTAAATTTTGCTTTAATTTCTTCAAATCAGGGTTCTTCTCTAACTTTAAATAAATTTTGCTTTAATTTCTTCAAATTGAGTTAAAGTTAGTCAAATATATCTTTAAACAACGTCGTTTAGCATCTCAAATGCTGACTTTAGCTTGCTGACACACCAAGTGATGGATTTTATGTGGGCCGCCCATGTTGGGCAAGTCTGGTCCATGATCTATCATGCCAGCCCATCATCCATTGAGTGGTTACTTACGGATAAGGCGGCTGCGGATAAAGTAGTAACTGCTAAGGGCAGTTTGAATGGAACTGGGAGATATTGTGAAATAAAAAATTGAGACATCATCTCTAAGGAGTAAGAGAGTAGATACGTGATCAAGTATCTATCGTCTTCTCTGAAGAACATAAGTTCTAAAAAACTCCCAAGGCAAATACGTTCCGCCCCGCAGTAGAATCCGCCAAGAACTCTAAAGTCTGCAAGTGGTGCACTTAATCCGTGGAAAACAAGATCGTCCCGTCTATCTTGGTGATGTGCTTTACGATAAGTGATTCAAGTTTCCTTGGGCATGTTTCCACATATATTTTTGGTGTCACTCGTTAGTCGAGTTTTTTCGTCGTTTAGGAATGTGTTTCCATCTTTCCGCATTATTAGGAATACGTTTCCGACTTTAGTATCAGAGCATGTGTTCTTGTTTCTTGATCATTTAACATGTTTATAAAACGGATTGTTGACCGGAATTTGTGAAACGGCACCGATGAATGCTCGGGTACAAAAAACCGACACCCGGCCATACAGTTCGAGGTCGTTTCTCGATTTTCGTGCGTCAAAATTTATTTTTGAAAGTGTAGGGTCGTAGTTCTCGTCAAGACGAGAAAAATGAGTGGCAACACGCCGCCGGGAGAGGCCGAATGGGCCTCCACGCACAGCCGCAAGCGGCAGCTTCGCCGGCACGTGCGTTGCACGTGCACAGCGGTTACTGTAACGCCCCCACCTCGGGGTCATTAATGTGACGTCCCGTTCATTGTTATCTTCCTTTACACACAAGCGGAAGCATATCTCGAGACAATCACAATCAATACACACAGCGGAAATAAGACAAGAAACATCATGAGCAAACCTTATGTTTACAACGCATGCGAACATATTAAATACAGGCCAACTAAGGATAGCAAAACTTGACTTGGGTTATCCTATATCCATTATGGCTTCTCGCTCCTCGCTTCTTCATCTCCACCCCGGTCTCGTCCGCCTAGCCATCTCACCTCCCACCCGTGGCCTTGTCCTGGAGCCGGCCCGCCCGCACCGCCAAAGTACCGTTGAACCCACATAGGGATTGTCACGCCCCGGACCCCAACGGGCTCGCGACACCCCTTCAATGGTCGTATTGAACGCGACGTCCCAGGACGCGTCGCTGACCCAAACGAAACACCCAACGATAAAGGCAAGCGGAAGCGAATTTAAAACAACCCAGACAATAAAATATGACAAAGGGATAGCACAAAACAATAATTCCAAATACACAACATCAAAAGGGAATAGTGGTGGGGTATCCTACTTTGCTATACAAAAGAAGGGCACACAAAATATGGGGTAACTTGACCCGTCCTCCATCTCCGAGATACCCCGGTGGCGTCTCCAATCAATCACGATCGCAGATCGAAAATGGTTATATAATAACCGTGAGAACGAGTCTCAATAAGCAACCCCCTATACCCCACATAGGTCAATGCGTACCCAGACAAGTTGTAACATGCAATCTAACCGATAACTTATATATAATTCACATCAATGGACTTACCTCGCCATCCAATCACATGCCCACACTGTACATTAGTCAAATCACATTAGTGCATCCAGCAGAGCTCATATTCAGATCACACAAGGAAATTTCCCATGCATCATACAATAGCACTCGCGCGTGTCTCGATTATAAGGTAAAATCACTTGGGCACGTCCCATACCATGCCTAGCAGTATTCACCTCATAATCAAACACTATGCAACATGCGTGGTCCAGCCAACTTTCTCACGACCTCCCAGGTCCTTTCACACTGCCCGCGCCACTCCGCGCCTCGAGGCCCAT